GGGGTAGAATACCATGAGTTTCTCTCATCAAGTGAGCTAAATATGTTATTTGACGACTTTGTGAGAACACTAAAGCAGGGCGGTCACTGATTGGATCCCGCGGGACTTCAAACGAGCATTAAGACGGCATTCAGTAGCATGGTCAGACTGGAAAACTGTGGGGCACGAGAGGTTAATTGGAGAGAACACTTTAGCCGCATATAGAATAAGTGTTCCAAAAAACAAGATAAATAAAACATGTAAATGCATACGACCTAATTCTAAAGCGATTGGAAACCCCTGAAAGTAATCCGTCCTAGAACCAAGGTATATTGGAATGAAGCACTACTCTGAATAAGATGATAGTAAGCAGCACAACTCACCTCAGAAAGCGTCAGAGTTTCACTAAGCTTTTGTACAGGAAAAGCTGAAGCATAGATTGTACTGTCCCCTTCTTTGGTGCCAATGGAGTATGCAGTGCTATTCATGAGGCTTTTCGTATCTAATATTTCGGCACCTTCTAAAACCAACGAATAATCCAAGGAAGAGCAAGGAAATGAAAGAAAACAACCTTTCGAAGGAGACACATGCGGTGATCGCTTCCCACGCTGAAATTCAAAAGCATTTAACACTTCGAAGAAAACAAAATATGGGACAAACTTGCTAAAAGAAAATTTATGAACTGCTCACTGAAGAGCGCGTGCACTGCAACATCGCCAAACGAGCCGCCTTGCATTCCCACAAGATGTTACTGATAAGAATTGATACCTACAAAGTAAGAACTATGGGATGAAGTCAAATCATGGTTTCTTTAAACGAAGTATCGCTGAAAACAATCGAGACATACGCGTCGCTCAGTTTTCGGATGCTGAGTGTTGATCCGCATCAAAACAAATTGTTGTAGGTGAGCGACAGTGGCAGCTTCATCCACAAACAGATAAAATGATGGCAATTCTCGTGTGGAGATTATTCGCGACGATGATTTCGGATTTCGGTTAGGGCGTAACACCACTTCCACAATTCGCGTCGCTTGCCGATTGAGGAATAAATGATGGCGTTCCTAAAACGTGCTTTACTAGCCTTTTAAGTAGAAGTAACACATTCAGTAACGTCAGCGGTATGGATAAGAACGTTTCAGGAACACTACAGCTTGCAATCCTTGAAGGTGAGGGATATTGGAGGGGATAACCTAGACGGGTGGTTTATCGCAAAAAGGAAAAGGTTGGGGTGATTTTCAAACAGTAAGATATGAAAATAGAGTACAACATTCTATTATTACAGAAATTTCAAAAAAAAACTTACAGCAACCAAGTCATTCACGTCCTCCGAATCCAGAGACCCATTACTCGACGACTCTCCGTTCGCTTCCTTCTCCAGAAAAACGTCTGCCTAGAAAACACGCATTACTTGAGTAGATACAATACGAACGACAACTCACCTCAGCCTCTACTTTCTCTACCACGTCACTTTTGATTTTTCCCTCACAGGAAACAGGCATGTCATCTCCAGATTCCAGCCCAGCACGTTCATTTACCAAAGTTTCCGTAGCTCGCGACTTCGGCCGAAGTATACGATGCATTTTCAACAGACTTTTTCGATATTCGGCAGTGATGCCAAATCTGTTGGGTTCCTTCTTCTCAATCGTTGGCCAAATGTGATCCTTATTACACTGAAAATTGCAGCATCCACAACTATGAAGCAGACTTCGACAGATCCAAAAAGCAACTTGATTCAGAACCGAAAAGTAAATCAAAAACCACAAAACGCGTTTTGGTTTTCCAAAACTGGGAGTGAACCTACCTCAAACAGCTTGTACTCGGCATCGTAACCTCCGCCATCTCTAATACGTTTATCACGCAGTGGGGGAGGAACCTTAGGTGGTTAACGATCAATCCCAAAATTGAAACGACTACAACATATGCATACTCACATGGTTGATAAGGTTACCATAAATACGGAACGGCCGTCGCTCTTCAATTTCACCTCCGTCATGCTCTGGAATCCTTGGCAGAGGAAGCGGGGGATCATGGTGCGGCAATCCCATCTTTTTCAAATACCGCTGTACCAAAGCATTACTGTTTTGGAACTTTCGATCCCAGTAAAACGCTGAAACATTCCCATGAAAGTCATAGGAACTGTAAGATGCCCTATAGTCTTCAAAATGCAGGGGAAATTAGCACGCTCTTTGGAAATGCAAAGAAAGAATGTTTTGGATTATGACACTTTTCGAGCAAAGCCAAAGATTTTTAGATTGACAAGTGAAGAAGGAACGAAGGTAGTGATACAATCACAGCTCTGCCATCCTCCAGCCATATCTTTACCTTGGTTTCAATCGAACAAATCCGAAGCGGTGAAAGCCATATTTGAATGTTTAAGGTTGTGACAATGTTTAAGCGAGCGAGTATTGCGCTACTGTGCATCACATCTGTCGTGATCTTGTCAAGGCAGGATCGCAAATTTTGAGGCTTAGCTGACAAGTGCGACGCATGATGACAGGTACTCTCTAAAACGGGAACAATGCCGATTTAGTAACAGATTATCCCCTGCCTTACTATAACTATCATCAACGATTAGATGTTGTCATAGATAGCATAAAAAATGTTTCTAAAAAAGTCATGCCTAAAATTATCAATTAGTTGGTCGACTGAATAGAATAATTTCAATTGCGAAGAAATAAGAAATTATAGATAGATATAACTCACCGTGTTCGGCAGCTAATGGATGTATCCTACTTGGAGGTGTTGTCTTTTTTCTTATAACTTTTCGACGCTCTTCCGATACGTTGCACATATCCATGTACTCTTCGTCACTAGCTAAATACAAAGAATTTCAAATGTATTTTGAAAAAATTGCAAAGGAAAATCTAAAGATCCAATAATATCAAGCAACTTACTAATACTCGAAAACTCACAAGCGGAATGAGGTTTTCTGGTTAACAAATCATGAACGGTGTTCAAGTCAAAATCTATCTGAACAAATCAAAGTCATCTTTAAAAAATTCTGAATATGTTACATCCAATGCATTTCACATGAACGAAGTCTTATAAATCTAACGAAAGAAAAGAAGAAAGTTGAGAACGCGGTCCTCATTGAAAACCATAGCAAATGCAAGGAATTTCCAACTTTTGAGTAATGATTCCGTCTAAAAGGAGTGAAGCTCGTGTATAAAATGTAACTACTTACTTTGGCTATAATATCCTGAAAATTCGAATCATGACAAACAGGCTGATTCTGATCTAGTTGCATATTGCACCGGGGACATCGTAGATTACCAGCCGCTATTCGAGGACTCATACAACTTTCACAAAACCTATGCATACACACCTGAAAATAAATGCACACAGTGCGATAGCCAACAATCCACAACAAACAAAAAACAACAAACTGTAAACAACTGACATATCAAAAAGCAATTGAGTTCAAAGATTATACAAACCGTGGTTGCAACGGGAATATTACAGATACGCTGACATAAGATACACGCGAAGTCTCTCACTAAACACCGCTTATCCATCGTTGCTAGGAAATCATCTGAGGCTTTTCTTTTCCGCGGACGTTGCGGATCATGAGGAGGAGAAGCGCCCTGAATAATCTTTAAATAGTAAGCTGAACAAAGTGATCACGCGAAAATGACAACGAAATAAAAAAACACCATGTCTTACCCGTTCTGTACATATCATACTAGATCAAACCCAATATTCGGTGTTTCACGTGAATTCAGCGCTAAAACGTACTTTGAATGTAAAAAGCCGGAATCAAAACGAAAATAACAAAATGCAGACGTTATAAATAGCGCAGCACGAATGCTCACTACGAACCAATTATACAATATTTATCACGACGTTAAGACCTCAATCGACAAGTGATGAATTGCGATTCGGGCGAACAAAAGGCTGAAATAAGGCTATCCAAATCAAATTCATCAGAAACGCTAGTTGCAATATGTTGCAACTCCACTTTTTTTCGATTTTTCAACTTACTATACCTTCAATCGTAAGGTAAAAAACACTTTCTGCAGTCCCGGATAACAACTTATACTTGACGCGCATGTTCGTTTTTGCTTACGAAGGGCGATTGCTTAGGGGGGGTTTGTTGTTGGTTAAGACGATTATTTTCGATATGCGCTGACTCAAACTTCAGTAATGTTGTTAGGAATCATTTTTTTATAGAACATGGGTAAAGTCTCGAAGGACCAGCGTGATATTTACTATCGAATGGCAAAGGAGCAAGGATGGAGAGCAAGAAGTGCTTTTAAACTATTACAAATTGATGACGAATTCAACATTCTTGAAGGTGGGTGCTACTTGTACTTGACATGTCCTTTATTTACCTTGCTAGTTTATTCGATTACTTTGTATTATCTGAACACCTTAATCCTTAGACGATCTGTCAGGGTCCTACTTCTATTTTTAATTGGTCCTTTTTGGAAACCTGTGATAGAAAATTAGGCAGTCTTGTGCGGCTCAACTTTTTCTCCCTTCAGCCTTAACCTGCACATCTCTTGGTTCCGACCTCCTTGGCACTTTCATTAAAATGGTACAGCTAGCAGCGTAATCTCTTCTATCGTTTTTTTTTTCAATCCTTTAATCTTTCACTACAATAGAAATATGAATGTTATGGGTTTTTGTTGCGATTAGAAATGTCAAAAAGATTAAAAGTTTCAAGAAGGGGGCAGGGTCTCAGCTACGAATAGAACTGACCGAAAATGTTCTTTGTAGGTGTCACGAAAGCAGTCGATTTATGTGCTGCTCCAGGAAGTTGGAGTCAGGTATGTGGAAAGGCTGTTTTACACTTTATTTTTTTTT